ATCGATGTAAGTAGAAACGCAGAACTCTTGCTTGAATGCAAAGTAGGGATTTGTAAGTGCCTCGTCCGTCTTCACTATATCAAAAACAATTGGAGCTCCATGATTTTTTGACTAACAAAACAATTAGAGATTTATCTCTGGAACGACTCACCGCGAGTCTAGATTTTCTTAAGTGTGAATGAATATAATTTGCTTTAATATTATATTAGATTTTGTAAAGAATCTATGAACAGGTGAATGATCAAATGAAGAAGAAATTTGATAAGAAAATCTGAGCAAAATGGATGTTGCTCAAGAAATTTTATGAAAGAGAAACGTAGTGTCGAAAAACTAAAATTGAGAATATTATTTTTATATTCTTTACATACAGGTGAGTAGTATTTATACAAAGGAACAATTTATAGATAACCCTATAGTTTTAACTATTTATATTAATTCCATTTTATCTAATATTCTAATAATTTTATTGAATTTAAAGTAAAAAAATTGAGAATTGATTTTAATAACTTAACAAGAATAATTAATTTATTTTGTTTGAATATATAGAAAGTAAAAAAAGAAATAAGAAAGAAGAAGACTTATACCATAATCTTAAGAGTTGTTTTTAGAGATTTATGTTAAATGAAAATATAGTAATTATATTTTTTTGTTGATCACTAAAGATAGAAAAACACTAATGTTGTTCCATAAATAAATTTTTATTAAAAGATGCATCTTAAAAGATTTTATAAATTTTAAAAACAAATTATAACAAGAAAAGTTTTATGATCCAATTATGAGTTGATTATAAAATTACACATTATTTAATTTATTAATAATTATATTAATGAAAAATAACAAAAAGTATATTACTTTAAAAGGTAAATAAGATGTCTTGAAAGAATAAGAAAAAAAAAACAAACTTAGATATATACCATTCTTTTTATCTATTTTCTTGTATTGAGTTAAAAAAAAATTAATAAATTATTTATTAATTAAATAATTAATACTTTATTTAAAACGTTGAATTAATCACTAAATTATGTGCCACTTATTATTAGGCAATACATCAAAATATAGGAATGAATGAAAAAGATAATAGGTTGAATTATTATAATTTATAAGATCAATTTTTATTTCGAGTTTAGTTTTTAATTTATAAGATCAATTTTTAAATTTTGTTATTTTTATTGAAAATTTAATAAAAGGATTAAATTAAAAATAAAATAAAATATTAATTCCTTAATTTTAAGAAATGAAATTTTCGGGGCGGGGGGAATAAAAAGTAAAAATTAATGGGTAATTTTGCAATTTAGCCTTTTAGAATTATTACAAGATAACCCAAAGGGTAAAACAGTCAACTAGAAAATATCATTCACTCCGCTGATGTTTTTCAGTCTCCTTTGGTCCCCCAGGTAGCTTCAAAGGAAATGAGAAATTTACTGTTGCCAACTCGCCTCATCACCAAATCACCCTCAAATCCTCTCTTCTTCTTCTTCCCCTCCAAGAAAAATTTCTTAGTGAACACTCACAATCAACACCCCAGATTCTCTCTCATAGCTAATAATTTCTCCAAAGTCACCCTCGCTAACCATCGAAATTTCTCGATAATGGCTGGTGCTAGCAGCAGCACCGATGAGTTTGTCAAGGGAAATGTGCATCCAAACGGCGTAGCTGTCATCACTCTCGATCGTCCCAAAGCTCTCAACGCCATGAATTTAGGTTCCCTTTCTTTCTCTCTCTCTCTGCGTTCCCAATATCTATTTTCCTGTACTGAATTTTCCTCGATTAAACTAGAAACTAGATAGTGACAACAAATTACGTGTGTTAATTTTTGAGAATGAGATGAACCAAGGAAATGATTTTTGCTTCTATTGATGTTCGTCAAAATTTTAAATGAGGTGATCGGGTTATTATGATTTGGTTGATGGTTTTTATGTTTGGTTACTGCTGCGATCAGACGCTTGATAATTGAAGGTGGTAAAAAGGATAAAGGAGAAGGAATTTAAAGAGGCTCGTGGTTTCCTGTTTTGGATTTCTAGAAATAGAATAGCGGTAGCAAATAGAAAATATTGTTAGATACAGCTAATAATTTTAGCATTTTACGAGTATTTACGGGATAAATTAATGGGTTCCCAATCAGAACAAGCATAAATTTAAAGACAATTTCTCCTTAGGTTGAGAAACCAACTACAATTTTATTGCTGAATATTCTTATCTCAATTTCTTAGACATACAAGCTTTAAATAGGAAAGAAAACATAATTGCTTATCTAATACAATTACTGTAAATAACTATTAGAAACTATCAAATCTCTTCTTTTTCTGAAACTGCTCTATTAACTGTTTAATCATCATTGGTGATTGAAGTATCGAGGGTTAGGTATCTTGCGTCTCTGTGATTTATGGACTGTATCATTACTCCCCCCAGTAAGAAGAACTTTGACCTCAAGGTTTAGTGTAGGAACTTGTTCATGCAAGGCAGTTGTTATCTCCCAAGTAGCATTTTCGAGCGGTAGATGACGCCATTTAACAAGATTCTCTTCCACAAGCTTGGAACCGCGCTTAATCCATCGGTGATCAATAATAGATTCCGGTTGTAGGAGTGGAGCACCGTCCTCTATAGTAGGAGGCAGAATATCTGCAGTAGAAGTGATAGTACCAAACTTTTTGCGAAGCATCGAAACATGAAAAACTGGATGGACGCGGGATGTAGCAAGCAATTGAAGCTTATAAGCCACTGATCCAATTCGTTGAATGATCTGAAAAGGCCGATAAAAACGACAAGCAAGTTTGTGAAAGGTTCACTTGAAGATGGAGTACTGGCAATAAGAATGCAATTTAAGAAAAACCCAGTCACCCTCTTGAAACTCGACATCACGTCGTTTGGAGTTGGCCATTTGCTGCATGCGATAGTTAACATTCTGCAAATTAATTTTAAGTTGTTGTAGCAGGGCATCACGGTTAGTCAATTGAATACCAACTTTATTCACAATGGAGTCACCCGTATGATAAAGGGGAATAGTAGGCAGTGGTCGTCCATAGAGTGCTTGAAACGGAGACATTTTAATTAATGAATAATATGTAGTATTGTACCAGAACTCGACCCAAGGTTATAAAGAAGTCCAATTGCGGGGTTGTTGGTGGCAAAGACATCGAAGATATTGGTCCAAACTTCTGTTAGTGACTTCGGTTTGACCATCAATCTAAGGATGATATGCTGAACTCATCTTGAGTTTGGTGCCAGACAGCTTAAAGAATTCTTGCCAAAAGTTACTAAAAAATATGGGATCACGATCACTAACAATGGACCGAGGCATGCCATGTAATTTGACTATTGTGTTGATAAAAAGTTCTGCAACAATTTTGGCAGTATATGAATGACTCATAGTGGCAAACTGTGCGGATTTAGTGAGGCGGTCAACTACAACAAAAATAACACTTTTACCATGAGAAAAAGGTAATCCTTCAATGAAATCCATCGAAATATCTTCCCAAACGTGATCGGGAATTGACAATGGTTGAAGTAGTCTTGCCGGAGTAAGGGTATTTGATTTAGATTTCTGACAAACATCATAAGAGAAAACATACTCACGAACAGTCTTATGCATGGATGACTAATAAAACTGTTGAGCAAGACGTTTGAATGTGCGTTGAATACCCGAATGCCCTCCTATAGGTGAATCATGGAATTTTTGTAATAGTTGATTCATGATGTCAGTTCGAGGAGGAATGATTATCCAATTTTTGAAAAAAATCAATCCATCTTTCTTTGTATATGGTTGATCAGGATTTTTCATAGCTAATTTTTCAATTGTCTGCAAGTATGGATTTGTCACCAAAGATTGACGGATGTCTTCCCATAATTGTGTATGTGGAATGGATAGAACATATAATGTAGGACCGTCATCTCTTCTGGATAAAGCATTTGCAGCAGAATTCTCTTTTTCTGGTTTGTAGATAATCTCATAATCATAATCAAATAGTTTTGTAAGTCATTTTTGTTGTTCAAGAGTTATAATACGTTGCTCTAGTATATATTTTAAGCTTTTCTGGTCCGTCTGTATATAAAATTTGTGACCAAGGAGATAGAGTCGTCACATTTTAATTACAACAATAATTGTCAACATTTCTTTTGCATAGGTAGACCAAGCTTGTTTGGAAATCCCCAAAGTTCTGCTTATATATGCAATTAGTTGATTATTTTGAGAAAGAATTGCTCCAACTCCGTCACTAGAAGCATCGGTCTGTATCACAAAAGGAATCTGAAAGTTAGGTAGTGCCAAAGTGGGAGTTGTTGATAGAGCTTGTTTGAGCTGAGTGAAAGCTTGCTCGGCTTCGTCAAACCATCCAAAGTGGCCTTTCTTTAAGAGATTGGTCAAAGACCGAATTATGATTTCATAATTGCGAACAAACTTTCTGTAATGAACAGTGAGTCTAAGAAATCTCCGAAATTCTGTGATAGTAGTTGGATGCGGTTAGGACTCGATTGCCTAAATTTTATGATGATCTACCTTTACTCCTTGCGGCGTGATAATATGCCCCAGATACTCTAATTTTTGCTCACCAAATACACATTTCTTTAATTTGACAAAGAATTGATGTTGCTTGAGAATATTAAATACGTGCTGAACATGTTCAAGATGCAAAACCCAACTGCTATTATAGATTAAGATATCATAAAAAAATATTAGCACAAACTTACGTAGATAGGGACGAAAAATTGAGTTCATGATAACTTGAAAAGTGGATGAAGCATTGCATAGCCCAAATGACGTTACTAGGTATTCATAATGCCCATTGTGTGTTCGAAATGTTGTTTTGTGAATATCTGCAGGATGAACTCGTACTTGGTGATATCCGACCGTTAAATCCAATTTAGTGAAGAATTGAGTGCCATGTAATTCATCGAGTATGTCGTCTACAGTGGGTATCGGAAGCCTGTCTTTCACAGTTGCCAAATTAAGAGCTCGGTAGTCAATACAAAAACGTCATGTTTCATCCTTCTTGCGTACCAATAATACTGGTGATGAAAAAGGACTAGTACTGAGTCTAATTAAACCAGAATCCAACATCTTATTAACTTGTTTTTCAATTTTTGTTTTCTGAAAATGAGCATGCCGGTAAGATCGGACATTTATCTCTTTCATACCTTCTCGAAGAACAATCTGGTGCTCAACTTCTCTAACAGGCGGCAACCCATCTAGATCCCGAAAAATGTCAAAAAATTTGGAAACCAATTTCTGTAATTCTAGCTTCATGGTAGGTGATTCAGATTCTATATGGGTAGCCACACAAATAGCAAACAGAGAGTGTTTCTGATTCCATTCTTTGCTGACTTTTTTTAGGGAGGCTGATCGGGGAAGAGGTGGAGTGATACCCTGAAAGAGCCGCATCTGTCCTTCCCATTTGAATTTCATCGTCATGCTTTGCCAATCACAAACGACTGTGCCCAATTTGGATAACCACTGTACGCCTAAAACCAAATCCAACCCAGTCAATGATAGTGCATAAAAAGTGAGAAAAAATTTGATAACTTGCATTTCCACCGGAACCCGTTCAAATCTTCCCTGACACCTTATGGGTTGTCCACTGGCAACTCGTACTGAAAAGGATTTAGTTGGAATGACAGGAAGGTGAAGCTGATTAGCGAGCCGCTCACTGATGAAATTGTGAGTCGGTCGCACTATCTACAAGAACCACTATTTTTTGGTTGTTAATGGAAGCAACAATCTTCATGCTCCGGCCCGTCGACCAACTTGAAAAAGCATGAAGGGAAATTTCTGGTTCCTCGGCCTCGGTCATTTCTTTGTCTTCCTCTTCTCCTTCGAGTAGCAACAACTGAAGTTTGCAACACCGATGACCGACCACAAACTTCTCGTCACAGTTGAAGCATAAACCCTGGGCTCGCCGTTTTTGCATCTCCTCCCAAGACAACTGTTTGGTCGATTTCGGTGTTGGAGCACCTGGAGACGAAGACGCGATTGTTAGGGTTTGTGTCTGTTTATTAGAGTTGAGCTGTCCGATTCGGGTAGACCACCTTAGCCGGTCTAATTGATCTTTTCTCATTCGGGCCAGGCTGATGGCCTCCTTTAGTGACTTAGGCCGAGACAAACAGATCCTATCTGCAATCTTAGGCTTGAGCCCACCCATAAAAGAGACAACTAAAGCTTTTTGAGTCCAACCTCGAACCCTGTTGCCCAAACACTCAAACTCCATTTGGAATTCTCGAAGTGGGCCAGTTTGTCTTAATTTGGATAAGGCCTCATTAGCATTTTCACACTCAGTTGGCCCAAAACAAGCCCAAAGTTCATTTGTAAACCCAGTCCAATCCAACTCCCCTTTTCTTCCCTGTGCGTCTTCTTCATCCACTGCCACTAGAGATTTGCCTCCCCTGCCAGATGAAAAGCCACCAACGGCACCTTGTTTGCTTTCGGGGTATCCTCCAAATCAAAAAATTGCTCAGCCTGACTTATCCATTTGGTGGGATCTATACCATCATAGATCGGAAAGTCGAGGTGTCCCAGTCGCGGACTCAATAAGGATCGGTTTCCTTCAATCCGCTCCGTGCCACCGTCTCTGGTCTGCCATGCTTGACCTTGCCGACAGACCGCGTTGCTGTTAGAGCCTTCTTTGTTGAGGCTCAAAGTTTTTGTCAATCGCCGAAGGGTTTCTTCCACTGCGTGAAGTTTATCTGCCACACCGATTTCCATTTGGCTGAGGCGATCCTGCAGACCCCCACACTTGCTTTCAATTGTTCGATTCTTTCTTTGTTAGTCGACATTCCCTGTTCTGATACCAATTAATGGGGTCTCAATCAGAATAAACATAGATTTAAAAACAATTCCTCCTAAGGGTGAGAAACCAACCACAATTTTGTTGTTGAATATTCTTATCTCAATTCCTTAGATATACAAGTTTTAAATAGGAAACAAAACATAACTGCTTATCTATAACAATAACTATAAATAATTATTAGAAATTATCAAATCTCATCTTCTTCTAAAATTGTTCTATTAACTGTTTAATAATTCTTGGTGGTTGAAGTATCAAGGGTTAGGTATCTTGCGTCTCTGTGATCTGTGGACTATATCATAAATGTATCGAAATGAGCACCAATTAATGAGTGAGGAAGGGAACTAGCAAACTGAATATTTGTCTCCATGCTAAAGAAAAATTAGTGTAAAAAATGGGTACGACCCTTCATGGTTGTTGGGTTCTGTTGGCATAACTCTTTTTTTAGAAGACAATCAACAGCATAAATTAATAATGAGGGTTAATATCCTGCTCAAATAAGGGAACCAAGAAAATGGGAAACTCTTGTACAATCAAAGAAAAATCAGGCAGGTAATTGCCTTTCTAGCAAAGAGATCAGCTACTTGATTTACACAATCTTGGACTCTATTTAAAGGTAAAGGACAAAAACAAATTTCAAGGGATGACATCTTCTACTAACAGACCGGAAACAGAATAAGCAGGACATATATGAGAGAATTGCATAGTGAATTATCTGAAAATCCTCCTCCAGTTGCAAGTGTTGAACACCCATCCTCTTCGCCAACTTCATTTCATATAATAGTGCCAGGATATCTGCAATTTCCATCCGTAATGGGTTGTTATCTTTCTTATACCATTGAACACCACTTTACCTTCACTGTCTTCGGATATCATGCCTAGATCTGTCCATCCTCCAACTCCTCCTGAAGCATTGTAGTTGAGTTTATAAATCCCTTGTGGCGGGGGTGTCCAGATATGGCATCTCCTGTTAGCAAGATCTGATTTCTTTTGGGCTTTTATCGCTTATACAATAGTTACTTCAAGATAGAGGTAGTGGATTTTTTTGTTGGAATATGTTGATGGTCCACCCACTTCCTTTGTTATATTCATAGATTTTGACTCGACCAAATACCTAATAATAATAGTAGCAAAAACACCACCATGCCTTCAACATTTGGAATATGTAATCCAGATTTTGAGCCAAGTATGAAAAGAGAGATAGGAGAGAGGGTACCTCATAGGGAGCTCAATGTTTGAAAATGAGAACACGTATTAGAAAACTGTTGGCATAACTTTGAATGTTTAAAAATGATGCAGATATGGATATCAAATACAAAAGTTTTCTTGATGAGTGGGAATCGGACCCCAGAGTCAAATGCGTCCTGGTTGAGGGAAGCACACCCCGCGCCTTTTCTGCAGGTGAGGGGAATGGAGTTTCTTCTTTAGTACTTGATAACTTATTTAACACTTTTTGTAAATAAATAATTTCATTTATTAGGGGACTTATCTAAACTTAATCAACTATATTTTCTTTCTTATGAAACATATACACATTTGTGGTCCTTGTATTTTTTTTCTAAAAATAACTTGTTTCAAGTGTTATTGAACGTTTTGAGATTTCAACCATTCATGGCCTATGCAGGAATGGATATTAAAGGGGTTGTTGCAGAAATTCAAAAGGACAAAAACACACCACTTGTCCAAAAGGTTTCTTTATGATACATCTTGTACCACTATGCAAGATTTTTTGCCCTTTTCTCTTCTTCTGGCTTTTTCTATCTGTTTGTTGGGCCAGGGATGAACACTGCATCATTATGTACATGTGAAGTTGCGCATGATTTAATCAGCACAGTGCTTGTGTAATTGATAATTCAGATCTTAGTTTATCTGCAGGTGGTGATGTGAAGCAGATAGCAATCAAAAATCAATTGTCAGATATAATTGAGGTTTGGTCGTATATTTCTAATAACGTCCATCATCCAATCCAAAACCAGATCTGGTTGATAAGTGTCAACACATGACCACTAGAAATTCTTAACATAATCAATTCAATGGTACTATTGTCATAATTTAGAGATGCAACTGTGACTAGGTTTATATATACAATATACCCAAACTATATTGTATTGATGTTTGGAGTAAGTTTTCTCCTAAGTCTGCTTGCTTCCTTATCCAATATATTTAGATTTAAATAGAAAGAAGGAAGACAACATCAGTATCAGGTCCTATCCACATCAACACACTAAATAACATAGTTTGGCTTGAAAAAAAAAAGAGGAGAAGAACTATTTTGATTTGAAGATTGGTATTGGCAATACTTTTTGAAGTTTCAATGAGGAGCTTTTTTGAGAGATTTATAATATTTGGTAAGTTTTACTCTATGGGTAAACTATTGGTAGGTTATAAGTGTGAATAAAGAAATAAGAAAAAAATTATTAAATAACCATGATGTTGTTCACTTACATTTCCTGGCACGTATTATTTTGTGCCTTTGAAGATTCATGTAGAATATTTACGTTTTGCGTGGTTATGTTTTCTATTTCATGGGAGCTTCAGATTGAACTCTTTTAGCCAGTTTTCTTCTCGTCTGGATTTAGTATGGTAACTTGATTTTCATGTGAGCATTAAATCTATGGAGCCATTTTTATTATTTTTGGACAGTTTTCTTTTTTTTGGTCACAATGGTTAAATTTGGTTCTTCGCCGTTCATGACCTTCTGTAACTGTGCATTTGTATTCTGTTACCTGGAGTTAATGCATGCTAGTATGTGGGCATATCTGCCAGGTGTTCACTGCTGAGTATACACTAATATGCAAAATTTCTGAGTACAAGAAGCCATATATATCTTTAATGGATGGAATTACTATGGGCTTTGGCATAGGCCTGTCAGGACATGGTAACTATCGTGTCATAACAGAGGTATAATTGTGAATACTTTATCTTGCAAAAGCAATTTGGACCATAATCAGAAGTTTCTACAAATCAGTTAATTTCTAATTACCCTTTTTCACGCCCTGTGTAATTGTTTTTAGAGGACTCTTCTTGCTATGCCAGAAAATGGAATTGGTTTGTTCCCTGATGTTGGGTTTTCATACATAGCAGCACGGAGCCCAGGAGGAGGATCTGTAGGTACAGTTTTCATTACCCTAAGTGATCTCTCGAATTGTATTCATTGGATATATCAAGAAAAGCAGGATGGGCATAGTTCTTGCCATAAATGATACTTAGGCTGAAGAGGAAGTAGAAAGCATCTTTTATCTAAATCATTTTGACATAAAACACATATTTTCTAATATTGCATCAGAATAAACATGTTGCATATTGTCAAGGAAAAATCAAGACATTGTTCTGTTAGCCTAGACTTTTACAGAGTGCGCTTTTTCTAGCCACCTTTGCAATAACCAGAACAATAAAAGAAAACTTTTACTTTTTTTCTTATAATATTTGTCTTTTTTTATTCAATAATACTTTTGGAGACTGATTTCATTTATGAAACATTCACTACTAGTTCAAAAGAGTCTCTTTCGTGCCGTCTATTTAATTTAGGGGAGAGGATGTATTAAATCCCAGAAGAGATTTATAATTCTTTTGTGTTCCTTTTAGTTTGTCAGTATCCTCTTGCCTTCTGTTTATCAACTATAAATTTCTGCAGGTGCATACTTAGGGATGACAGGGAAAAGGATTTCTACTCCTTCTGATGCCCTATTTGTTGGTCTTGGGACACATTATGTACCATCTGGCAATTTAGTTTCAATGAGGGAGGCCCTGCTGTCCACTAACTTGTACGTTTCCAGTTATCTACCCATTCTATATGCTTTTGTTTAACAGCAAGTGAAGTATGTACTTGGTGTTTCTTCGAATGCATGGACTTAATCATTTCCGCAATATGAATACAGTACTGAGGATCCACATCAGGACATCAAAGCAGTTTTATCGAAATATAGCAGTATCCCTGACTCTGAGCCCTCGTTGAAGTTGCTTCTACCACAGATCACGTCGTCCTTCGGTGTTCGTAAATCTGCCAAGGAGACAGTTGAAGAACTGAAGAAACATCAGCAGAGTAGTGATGCTGTGGGTAAGCAATGAAGTTCACTGTTAGACTGTCCTCTAGAGGACTAATTGATTGTTGTATTTTTCCAATTTAGCATTTGTGACTTCCATCAGTTCTCCTCATGTCTCTCATCTCTGTTTTTCCACTCTGCAGTTGTAGAATGGGCTAATGAGGCTCTTCAAGGTCTTGGAAAAGGTGCACCTTTTTCTCTTTGTTTAACACAAACGTACTTCTCCAGAGTGGCATCGGGACAGGGCAACAAGGAAAATGAATTATCAACAGTGAGTTTGGTGTTGTAATTTAGTTTTGTATTGTTAGTTACCTCAGCACAATTTTGAGTAACATGTTTGTTCCTGCTGCTCTTGGTTCTACCCAGCTAAGTGGTGTGATGAAAACTGAATATCGCATTGCAGTAAGGTCTTCTTTGCGAAGTGATTTTGCTGAAGGTGTTCGGGCAGTGTTGGTGGACAAGGATCAGGTTCATTTCCTCTTTCTCATCATCGTACTCCCTTCCTTCCCCTGTTAGAAGAATATTTCAATTTTTGCGCAGCTTTGTACTCTGGCTCTGGATCATGTATCTCACAGTTTCTTGGTTTCTCTTCCCCTTGTTGAAGCTTGATAAAGACCTGAGATCTTTTAGGCTGTTAGGAACAAATCCAGAAATTTAATAAAATTAATTTGTAAATTTGCATTTAGTTTATTATTTTAAAAAATATTTGCATTTAGTTTAACTAAGAAATGACGTAAATTCTATTAGAAGTTGATAAAAATTGAAATCATTTGAAACTTCATGTGAAGCTGGAACAATGTATGAAAAATTGAGAGTGAAAAAAATCAAAAAACCGAGAGGAGATGGACAGGTGGACAACCCAGATCAAAACCCTAAAATGAAAGGTCAAATTTTTTTTATTTTAAAATCTGTTAGGTTGTTGAGAACTGGTGGTCTCAGTAGATTTCAGATACTACCTTTTCATTTTTCCTTTTACTCTCCTGCATGTATAATATTCTCAATGACTTTCACGCAATTTACAAGATAGAAAATTAAAAGCATTAAAATCTTATCTACATTCGGTTGGATTTTTTACATAGTATCAGAGCAGTGCCTGTGATAAGCACTGATTTCTCTTATTTTTACACTACACTATTAATCTACTACTCAATAACAAACCTTAATACAGATGTGTGGACACTCCTAAACTCAAATCAACCTGAAATGCAACTTGTCACAACCACCCTTGATGGCTCCAACTATTTGTCTTGGAGTCGAGTCATGGTGATTGCGTTGAGAGCTAAGGACAAGCTCACTCTCATTGATGGTAGATGCAAGAAGCCCGAACCTGATGCAGCATAATATAAACAAGGACAAAAAACAGACAGCATAGTGGTGTCCTAGATCCTAAGCTCGATAAACAAAGAGCTTGGTAAGCTTTCTTGTTTACAACATCAGTAAAAAAACCTGTGGGATGAAATAAAAGAAAGGTATGGTGAAAGTAACAGGCCTTTGCTATATCAATTAAACCATGAAATAAGTTCCATCACGCAGTCTAACATTTTTGTTACAGCCTATTATACAAAATTTAAAAGGCTATGGGATAAGTTAACTCACCTAGGGTCCTCACCTGCTTGCACTTGTCATGCTGCAACACGACACAATGAAATTGACAACACCGACAACTTGATCCAATTTTTAATGGATCTTAATGACTCATTTGACCATGTCAGAAACCAAATATTGATCATGGAACCTTTACCTGCTGTGGATAGAGTTTATTCCATGGTAATTAGTGTTGAAAAATAAAGGGAAGTACACAATATCAACTCATCTGAAGGGACGCCCGCTGGATTTTACGCCAACCTGAAAGACAATCCAAAATTTTCAAACCATAAAAAGGAAAAAGATAGTAGAACATGCACTTACTGTAGAAACACCAGGCACACAAAGGACACATGCTTCAAGCTCCATGGCTACTCAGAATGGTTTGTAGAACTCAAAGGGAAAAAGAACAAAGAAAAAGCCAACGCAGTGGCAAATAATGCCCCTATGGCACCAAAATAGAAGTATCCAACACAAATTGGGGCGCAGAAATAGCCACACTCATATAGTAAGAGATCAGCAAGTATATGAAGAACCAAGGAGCAAACACGGCAGAATCGGCAGGATGCGTGGGCTACTCTGGCTCCACTAGTAAGCAATCTAAATATTATTTTTTACATGCCTTTAATGATATAGGAATTTGGGTAATAGACACAGGTGTCACATCACATATATGTCATGATTTTAAAATACTTTCAGAACCCGTAAAACTAGAACCTATAGTACCTATCTCGCTACCAGATGGAACGACAAGCCATTCAACCTACAAAAGAACCATAAAACTGTGTAATAATCTAATTATGCAGGATGTCTTTTATATACCAAAATTTACTTGGAATCTTATTTCTGTTAGAAAGCTAATCGAACCTTTAAATACCTATATCTCCTTTTATCCCAACTATTATTTTGTGTAGGATTTGACAACTAACAAAATATTGAGGAAGGGAACAATAGTGAAGGGCTTGTACACCCTGAGTAAAAACACAGATTCTGACAAAGCATGCATCAGCCACACCCAAGAAAATAACCTACAACTATAGTACAAAAGATTTGGCCACACATCCACAAAAAAGTTGATTCACATTCCTAGCCTAAAGTTATCAAATAGTATAGCTTCACATGATTGTGAAGTATGTCCCTTGATAAAACAGCAACACTTGTCTTTCCATAAAAGTCTCATTAATACTAATGACATTTTTAGTTTGATACATGTTGACATTTGGAGACCATACCCCATTAACTGTATTTCTGGTGCATTCTACTTTTTAACCATAGTTGATGATTTTTCACGAGCCACTTGGACTTATTTATTAAGAGAAAAAACAAGTGTATCAAATATCTTAAAATAGTTTTGCAATTTAATACAAAACCAATTTCAAAAAACAATCAAGACAGTTAGGACAGATAATGGCACTGAATTCATGAACACCTTATACAAAAATGTTTTTCAAGAAAAGGGAATCATGCATCAAAAAACCTGTACATACACACTACAACGGAATGATGTGGTGGAAAGGAAACATAAACACCTACTGTAAGTTGTTAGGGCATTGATGTTTAAATCAAAATTACCAAAAAGGTTTTGGGACGAAGCCATACTCACAGGCACACACATAATAAACGTTTTACCAAACTCTGTTTTAAAGTGAAAAACTCCTTATGAAATTCTATACAAAAAACAGACAGATTATTCAAATTTAAAAATTTTCGGTTGCCTATGTTTTGTTACAAATGTTAACCCCCAAAAAGACAAGTTTGAACTCAAGACTTTGAAATATGTTTTCTTAAAGTATGCACCTGATGCTAAGGTCTACAAATTATATGATATAATAAACAGAAAAATGGTTTTGTCAAGGGATCTCATATTCCGTAAACATGTTCACCCATACCAAACACAATATCTTAAACCAGATTATCATGACACACCACTGTCAATACTAAGCATCGACACACCAAACATACTCGAAAATCAATTACGAAGCAGAGAAGAAATTCCCTTACCAAACATCATCCCCCAAGAACCTGAATCGAGGAGGAGCACCAGGGTGAGAAGCAGACTCGCTTGGATGGAAAACTTTGTTGACCATGTCACCAAACAACCTGTGCCCAAACCTCCCTTCCTTATGTCCACCTCACCTGTATACAATCATGACTATATTAATTTTATTGCACAAGTGTCTATTACAAAGAAACCAATGTCATATAGGGATGCTAAAGAAGACAGCAAGTGGGTTGAAGCCATGTAAGCCGAGCTGTCTGCACTAGAAGATAATAACACTTGGGAATTAACTACACTACCAAAAGGAAGAAAGCAATTGACTCAAAATGGGTTTATAAAATAAAATACAATGCTGATGGATCAGTCGACAAATACAAAGCAAGACTCATTGATAAGGGTTACGATTAAGAGTTTGGCATAGACTATCATGACAGCTTTTAACTAGTGACCAAGATGGTCACGGTCCGACTACTTCTAGCTGTGGCAGTTGCAAACGACTGGCCAGTGGACTAGTTAGACATCAATAATGCATATCTATATGGGTTTGTAGAAGAGGAGTTATACCTAAAACCTCCAGAGGGCTACTCTGAGGCCAGTGAATGGCAAGTCTGCCGTTTAACTAAGAGTCTGTATGGCTTGAAACAAGCGGGTCGCCAATGGAACAAGGAGTTTACTTCAAAGCTCCAATCCATCGGCTTCACAAAGTCAGAAGTTGACTACTGTCTATTCACAACAGGAACAAAAGAAACCCATGTCACAGTTGTAGTATATGTGGATGACTTACTTGTTACAGGCCCTAATGACAAAGAAATTCATAAAGTCAAAAGCGCCATGGATGAAGCCTTCACGGTCAAGGACTTCGGGCAAACGAGATAGTTTCTTGGAGTTGAGATAGTCAGGTCAAAAAAGGGATTTACATCAACCAAAGGAAATATGTCAAAGATATTTTACAAGATATAAGTATGGAAGATGCAAAAGGAAGCCACTTTCCTTTGCCTTCCGGACTAAAACTAAATGTAGAAGGAGAAATCTTATCAGATCTGAAGAGATACAACGTCTAATTAGCTGCTTGCTCTACTTCAATTTTACCAGACCCAACATAACATACTCCACCCAACATCTTAGCCAGTTCATACAACAGCCCAGAAGGCCGCATCTCGACGCTATACTACATGTTGTTAGGTACCTAAAGCAATATCTAGAACAAGGCATCTTCTTCCCGAGAAGGAATGACCTCAAAGTCCAAGCTTTTTGTGACGCGGACTGGGCATCGTGCCTGATGACCCACAAATCCCTCACAAATTTCTGCATCTTCATCGGGCCAGCGCTAATCTCCTAGAAAATAAAGAAACAAACTACGGTGAGCAAGTTTTTTGCAGAAGCTGAGTACAGAAATATGTCATCCACAGTGTGTGAAGTTCAGTGGATAATCTACCTCCTTCGAGATTTCCAAATAGTACCTCACTTACCCGTAATACTAAACTGCAACAATAAAATCACCGAGCACATTGCAGCAAACCCAATCTTTCACAAACGAATGAAGCACCTCGACATCGATTGCCACATAGTCTGCAACCAGGTACAAAAGAGCTTCGTCAAAACAAAGCACGTCACCTCGAGAGAACAACTCGTTGATTTGCTCACGAAACCTTTAGGGAGGACCTCAGCATATAACCGATTTCTGTTCAAGATGAAACATCTACAACAAGAAAACACAGAGTTAAAGAAGTGGTGAGGAGCTCGAAGAATTGAAAGTAAACGGCTTCTTGAGGAGCGGGTGAAAAACTGAGAGTGAAAAAATAAAAAAACCGAGAGGAGATGGACAGGTGGACCGCCCATATCAAAATCCTAAATGAATGGTCAAAATTTTTTCTGTTTTGAAATCGGTTATGTTGTTGAGGATAGCTGGTGGTTTCGGTAGATTCCAGAGACCGCCTTTTCATCTAGAGACTGCCTTTTCATTTTTCCTTTTACTCTCCTACATGTATAAATATTCTCAATGGCTTTCACGCAATTTACAAGATAGAAAATTAAAAGCATTAAAATCTTATCTACACCCGGTTGGATTTTTTTACAATGTATTTTGGATTTAATTAATTGTTTGAATTTAAAATACAGTGTCTAATTGAGCATGGAATTTCATATGAGGTCAAATTTTAGCATTCTAGGAAAGTTTTCATCTTCTAGTTTAAATTAGTTTAAATTTACAAATGAATCTCACAAAAACTCTGAATTTGTTCCAAACATGATCCTGGTATATATCTTTTCTTATATTTTAATGGACTGTACATGGTCATGATTTTGCAGAAGCCTAAGTGGAACCCTCCAAGTCTGGATGAAGTTGATCAGAGTGAAGTGGAATCTCTCTTCAAACCTTTAGGTCCAGAGGTTGAGGAGTTGAAAGTGTGAGGTTTGCATCTTAAGTTCTCATAGCTATTTGCTGCTATTAATAATGTAAGGATTCTAGGCTCAATTAAAGAAAGTAAAGTCTGGCATCAGGAAAATTCCACAGCAAGTTTATCAGGACGACATTTTCTATTCAAATTGTAATTCCAATTATCATTCTGGACTTGGAAATCACAAGTGGTTCGTAGCCTTCCAGTTTGAATTCTGAAACATTTTTGGCTCTGACCTTAATAAAGTCTCTTTGCTGCAAATGTTCACGTGAAGTTTTTCATAAATAAATTTTTAAGCGATTATAGTTTCAGAAACCATTCTAGTCGAAATTTAGTTTTTTGCTTCATCAGTTGAACTATAGCCGCATGGTGAATTTCTTGAATTCAACTACTAGGAATTTTAGGAGTTGAATGTGGTTGTGAAGGTATAGAGCTTCGGAGAGGCTAATAAAACATGTTGTTTGTATCTTTTTTTTTTTTCAAACCTTTTCTTGAGACGAGATGAGATAGGATTGGAATGCTGAGTTATCAATTCTAAATAAAGGTATTATATGATTTAAGCTATTACAAAGTATGTTTATATTTTAGACTCATTGAAGTAGCTCTTATTTATAGGACATTTATTATTTCACCGGTTACGAAAAAAGTTGATAGGTGTCAGAGGCTTGCCAGTACCTGGTCTTATGTTTCAGATTAAGCTTCTAGTAAAATTTTATTTACCGCCACGAACCATAGAGATGAGAATGGAATGTTGTCATAGAATTTAGATAACGACATTAATGCTAAATAAATTATAAATATAGTCTAGGAAAGAATAGTTATGCATATTGTTTAACACTTCATTATATAGAGAAGAGAGTTGAATGTAGTAATAGGATTGGTCTAACAAATAAGATAAAGTTCAAAAGCCAAATAGTGAGATATTTTAGTGCATTAACTATGTGTTTTATTGAGCACGTATTTCTTTTATTTGCTTGGCATTACAAAATTTATGTTTTACACTTTCTGTAAAAGAACCAAGGAGAAATTAACTATTTATATTAGTTTTACATGACTTTCTTTTAATTTTCTGTTCCTGTGTATTTGTAATTTAATCTATTTACATTACGGCTGTAAAAGTGAAAATATGTATGTAATAGTTTCTCGTAAAGACTCTTTATTCTTCCTAAACATTTACTTTTTCTTAACTATTATAATCTTTTATTATCTTGGATACTATCCCAATTCCAACTTTATTTTAGTGGATTTTCTTGATTAAAATCACTTGTTTACCTGATTTTTTTAATTATTTTTCAGTCATATAATTGTCACGTAATACATATTTAGGCCGGGCTGAATTACCAAATATTTGTTATACAAAGGTTAATTTATTTTTAAAATAATAATAAATTTCTTTATGATTATACATTACATGTGATTTACCCTTTTCGAAAAAATTAATTGATGGGCTTCTTTAATAAAACTAAATGAGCCCATAAAAAAAAATCCAATCTTTCTCCATTACTACACCAATCAATCTCAGCTGCAAATCCATTTTCTCCCATATATTCAAAACAAACTCAAAATCCAGATACCTATTTGAAGTTGTTAGCGAAGAAACTTTCGCTGGGATCATTAAGCTCTGCCAAATCCAAAGGGAAACCCTGAATTAGTCGAGGTTTTGTGGTTTTCTTGCTTTCGGCCTGTTTGAGTTTGAGAGTGAGATCCCGAATTCACGCTGAATTTTATAAAGGAAATGAAATGTGATTCTTTTTTTAAAAAAAAAAAAAAAAAAGTTAGAAACTAACAACATTTTTAAAAAAAATATTTTGTTTGATTTGATTTATAAAATAATAAATTTGGTTTGGATTTCTATAAAAAAACTGGTCAAAATATTTCTTATTAGTAAAATGATAAATTAGATCATTAAGGGCAAAATAAAACATTAACCATTAGACGTTTGAAGTGGTCTCACTTTCCTTTTTCCTTACCATTTGGATTAAAAATAAATAAATTTTAAGAGAGAATAAAACTAATAATTATTTTATTCCAGTTTTTATTTGAACAAACAACATAATGGATATATCTACAACCATGGATTTGTATTATCACATGTCTGAGAAATAAATTATAAAATAAATTAAAATAAATATAGAATTAAAACATTATTTTTTGTTCAAATTTATATGTAATATTTCAATGGATATTCCCTATAAGTAGAACTCAAATCAAACTCAACCTAATAAAATATAAATGAGAAAGTGGCTAGGCCACTTGGAAAGGAAAGTAAGCAAAAAGTTTTCTCACACTTTTGAGGTTGCCGTTACAAGTAATGACAGAATCAAAAGCTGATAGAGTGCAGCCACTAAATCCTGCACAAGAAACTTGGCCTCAACCAAGTGAAGGTAATTTGTTCCATTACATGTGCCCATAACTAGTGAATTTCTAACCCCAGAAGGAGAGCTTCCCAAATTCTGAAAATCCGGTGCCTAAGAGCAATCTCCATTCTTCAATTTTTGTAATAGATCCAAGTAACCAAAACATTCAGGATCGATGAACCTGCAATTACCAACAAAGAATATCATATTTTTGGGCAATCAATCATCATATCTATTGTCAAAGGCTTCTTTAGCAGTGAACGAGGAGCAAACCTGAATCTAACAAGCAAAAACAGGGAGAATTAGGTAGTAAATGAGGCACATACTTGTCATATATTCTGAGAGTGCATATAAAGTCATCTTATATTTGCTCACATTAGACCAAATTCAGTCTTGAACGAGTCATAATTTATGAAAACAAACGAAAGCCATCAGAGAAATCAGAAGTAGTGCAGTAAGGTAGTTGGTTATGGGCAAGACAGCAAAGGTTTCTTGGAGTGATTAAAGAAAGCATGTAGTTGCAGGTGAAAGATGAAGAAAAGTATACTATGCATAAGAGTTCACAAGTTTGATGAAGATAATGTTTGTGTTCATAAAGAAATTTATCCTTTCAATTCCTGCAAATACTGAAAGAAGATAAAAAGGAAACAGAAGTGGATCGCTCATACCCATGGCGAAACAAGAAATCAATAATGACAAGGGAGCAATTTGGTTTGAAAAACTCTGTCCTCTTTATTACATTTGCAACATGCATAACAGGTACCAACCTGAAGCTCTCCACTTCTCCGTCTGTCAAATATTTTAAACATCAGTAAGGCATTTTAATGAAGTGACTGGTTGTGATGATAATGCAATTCCATGCATTTGAACCTCTAGTGGCACAATATCACTCATGCATAATATAATCAACTCTAAAATAATATGTCCTTAAATAATTTTAACTTAATTTTCATAAGTAAACTTTTCTTTCCATGTTTTGAGCAAAGCAAATTGATAAATTGACTCCATACTGTTTTTTGACAAAGACACTGGTTTTTGATACTTACTGTTTGATAATTCCACTTACTTTTTATCATAGAAGATTCTTTAACTACGTAAAAGGTATGGGGATAAATGAATGGTGCCAACATAAACTTCTCCGATTAATTGGCAGTTCAGGGAAACCAGCATTTGTAGCTTTTTCTTACAGCAAAAAGAAATTTGTGCTTTACTGTGCCAGCTAACCTTGATTTTTAGGAACAAAACTTGCAGGGAGTTTTAAATCATAACAAAATAAAACATCTCGCTTGTATCTTGGCCCATTAATGTCCAGATAGGAAACAGCACCAACTGATATGGCTCTGCCAGGGAAACAATCTCAATGTATCAATACCATCACAGATACAAAAAGTAAATACTCCCACAGACAAGAGTGTCAGGGGGAAGAAGGGAGGGACAGGATAATTATATTAGAAGCTGATGATAACAGAGTGCAACTTTGAAGAACATTCAAGCAAATTGAAAACTTGCCGCTTAGATAAACAAAAAAAATTTAATGATCCAACGGCTGAGGTGAAAAGCTTACTCAACAGCTATGGATCTCGGAATCCCTGCTTCCTCTTCGCATTCCTTTATAAGATTCTCCCCACAAGCCATTCCATGAGGCTGCCATTATTATCAAAATTACACACAGATACCCCAAATTATAAGACAGACTTGTAATACAGTGGTCAAATAATCCTTTTTTTTTTCCCTTAATCATTAATTTATCTTAACCAATGGATCCTCTGAATTTTTATGTTTATGCAGTTATTGCACAGAATTTAAATAAAATTTTTTCGTTTTCTTTCCTTTTTTTTTTAAATGTAATATTCAATATTTAGTTCCATAAGTCATACACAATAAACAACAACTTGTTACAAACCAGTCCTCCTGCAACAAGATGATCGAGCATTCCTGGATATGTAGGCTTCACTTGACTTCTCTTTCCTATCCATAAAAATTTCTGGCCATCTTTTTCAACATAACCATTCATGTGAACTCCATAAGCCTAATCTCAGAAAAACCATTGTGAAAGAGGAAACAAAGACATCTGAATCAGAAGTACTGTCATAGAATAGCCACTTAAATCTTCAAGCTTCAGGAGGGGAACAAAACTGCTTAATCGCTAAGAACTGAACTTATAATCATTCAGTTTTCTTTCTACTAATCATATGACAATTCAAGAATTTTAGAACAAGACTGATAACCATTTAGAAAAATACTGCAAAATGGAACAATATTCTAAGTTCTCAAGTGTTAATTATGTAGCAAAAGATCTGATGGTTGCCATAGCTTGGAGAATTTAAAGAAATTCAGCAATTTTATCCAATAAAAGAAAAAAGTTCTCATATCAACAAAGCATTATTCCGAGAACTATGAACAGGCTAACAATGATAGGAGTATTGCATATAGGATTTCATGAACAATCAACTGGACTGACCCCTTCTTGCAATTGGGTAAGAACCCTTCCCTCCTAATGAAAGATGGACATCAACTGAAATAAAAAAGAACTTAGTTGATGTTAAAAATTACTTAAGAAGTTTGTATATTTGATTAAAAAGATGCACATTAATACATGTAATTGACTTTAGGAAATCATCTTGCACAACTGCTTCATAACTCACAGAGGGTTACTTTTTATATCATATGTTTATATGCTTACTACAAAGTAAACAAAATCTTTAGGATGTAAGACTTACCTTAATTCCAAAATAAGGAGCAGCTGCGCGTTCTAATGAAAAGAAGACCGATGCACCAAATGATGAGCTCACAGGGTACAGCTGATTTAAACCAAAGGAATCCAGTCACTCAAGAATAAATTATAGTTCTTACTTTACAAACCAAAGAACTTCTCTCACAAATAAAACAAACTGGAATTAGAATGAACTTTCTTAAGAATTAATAAGGGGCTCTAACATTCTGAAAACTGCAATCAAAATCAAAAGCAAGAATGAGAATCAATGCCTCATTTTTATTGTCAATTAGTACCTCATTCCGTATACCTGGAATCAGTTCTTTCTCACTTAAGCATTTGATCACCTCTCCCACTGCTCTGGTCTTTTCCTCGGGTGTCTTCAACATTGTATGCAAAGTTACATAACAACCAAACTGGTTTCCGTAAGAATTATCTTGAGGAAAGGTAAACACATTACGAAACCCCCTTAAGTGGTCAGCAAAACTGCACATATTTGAATATGAATCGCATTTGATGCAAAATCACAAAGCAATATATTCGTATATGAAAGAAGAAAATTGGAAGTGAATTCATAAACCACAAGCACAGCAGGATGGCAACTAGGAACTTCAGATAAGCAAATTGATAAGTAATTCCATGAAGCACCTAGTATTTCTATCATTCATTAACAATTGACTGTAACAATGCAATTACCTTTTATGGATATAACCAACAGTTTGGCCGTCAACGACGAACCGAATGAACTCCGGTTGTAGTTCCTGAAATTAACACGAGATTCTCAATCACGAGGAATGAATTGCCGCTGCTCTTGGTAGCTAATAGAAGTGCCAAAAAAATGAGAGAAAACTTCCCAACAACAAGAAAGCGAAACAATTTAGGATGTTCTTCTAATTTTCGGCAATCTCCGCAGCAGCCGGAGACAGCCATTAGGAGAAAATACGAAAATATTAAACCAATAAGACAATAGAGCCGAGAAGTTTCCTTGTTTCTTGCACTTTCTCGGCCAATTAATGGCGGTACAAGAAGAGGCTTACTGCTCCGCGATTGCAGAATTTGATCTTGTCAAAGAAGCCTTTGAGATTAGAATAATCATGTGGCGCATATTCGGGTCGAGAGACTGCAATGACATCGTCCCAAGTGAAGCTGCTGCTGCTTGTAGTAATAGCTGCAGCTGATATTGCACGGGGATTGCATAACCTCGTCGAAGAAAAATGAGAAGACGGAAACGAAAATGCGGTTGATAATCTCTTTGGAAACTTATGAGAGACTTTGGAGATGCGGAGACATGAAAGTGAGCAGTGGATCAGTGAGATATTCTGAAGGTTACAGAACATCGCAAGATTCTGCCTGAAGGAGAAAGACAAGGAGGGAGGCTAATCTGCTGCGGAGTCGTTTACGTCGATCAACGGCGTCATTTGTGTTGTCTTTCCAACTTTTTAAGAGGCTTATAACTCTTTCTTTAATATTTAATTTTGCAAATAGCATAAACATTAAACTAAATACTATTTATTTTGAAAATTATTATTGAATTTAATTTTTATTTTATTTTGTATTTAAAATGAAAAATTCAAATTTTTATTTTATTTAATTAATTTTGATACTTATTGTATTTAATTAATTTTAAATATTTATTGTATTCAATATTTTCTATGTCACATTTTTATAAACTAGGTAACGTAATTGATAATAATATACTTGAAATATTAGATTTTTGACTAAAAAAATTGATAAATATAAATATTTAAAAATATAAATATTTTATTTTATATATTACTGATAATATATAAATTAGCACAATTGTATATACTATTTCAACAAAAAAATCATGTTCATTTAAGTAACTGATGTCATTTGTTTTTAATTTTGTATAAAAAAATTAAATACTAAAAAATAAATTATTATTATTTAAATAATACATAGTTTTTTAAAATTATTGTAACAAGTTAAAATGTTTTAAAACTGTTTATTTTTATATAATTAATTTATCTATTTTATTCAATATGAACATTAATTTGAAATTATTTTATTTAATTTTAAAATAATAAAATTTACATAATTAATAATAGATATAAAACTATCAATTATTGAAACAGTAATATCGTCCGTCTTTGTTATAACTAAGGCGTCGCCTACAGCACAGTGTTTTTCAGAAGACATAATTTTGATATTTAAATTGTATAGTTTTCAATTAAAATAAATTTTAGAAATTAATTTTCCAGCTAAGATATTTACTTTTTAAAAGAAATGTTTCCTGAAAAAGGCCAAAAAAAAAACCCAGTTTCCTCGGGTCAGACGTCATTTGGAACAGTCTAAGCTCCAACTCCAAGGTAGTAATATGAGTCTCAACCCTTCAAACGATTTGTCGCTTGAAATTGCACAAAGCAAATCAAATCATTCATCCGATGGAATCAATGCTTTTATTGCGTTCTTCAAGAGCATTTATACCCGAGGAATATATGTACTGAAGAGGGATTTCAAATATGCCAATTCATGCTGATTAATCGCCTCCATTTTGAGCTGCCCCTCCCTCTTCAACAACAGCACATTATATATCTCTTTCCTCCTATCGGATTCCTGTGTTTTTCATCTCCCTTTCGGTCGAACTTAGAGCTTTTCTCGCCGGAGTACGTGCGTTCAGATGATGTCTTGCTCGTCAGAATCTGCTGTTCCTGCTGTCAGGACAGTCGCCATATCGTACTCGGAACTTAAGGTTGGTTTCATGCTCCTGTCTGTTTGGTTCCTGAGAAAACTGAGTGAAAGAGAGGGGAAATTACTTGTTCACGTAAAGGAGAACGAAAAATAGCATAGGAAGTTGGTGTATCTGCCTTTGATTTCTTTTCTTTCTATTGAGCTTTTGCGTTCTCTTTGGTGGTTCATGTTTGTTTGATTGTGTTCTGTGATTTTGAACGTTAACCCGTTTAGTATGCGCATGTTCATATATATATATATACATATGTATGAGGCATGTCTTTTAACTGTTGTTTCTGGTTTGAGCTGATTATTAAATGTGTAAGTTAATTAGTTTTTATCTTTTCATTTTTCGTAAATTAGTTATTAATTAGTTGTTAATTAGTTTACTCTTATCATTAGTTTTGGTGATGTATCTATAAATACCTATGTATTTGATTAGTGAGATAATAACGAAGATAAACATTTTCTTTAACTCGGAAATATGGTAGCAAGCAAGATTTTTTTCTTTTTTGCTCACTCCTCGATAATTTTCCACTAGTTCTCTTTTGTCTTCTTTTATGATTTCCCTTCCCGATATTCTCCACTTGTTCTCTTTCTCTACCCAATAATCTTCCACCCAATAATCTTCCACTCAATCACTTCCTCTGATGTCCTTTCTCAATAATCTGGTTAAAGAATTCAGGTTAAAGAACTATGATTCTTGTTTCTTGAATCTTCTTTCTTCAAAGAAATGGAAATCTTCTCTCTTAGCTTCGAGGAAAATAAACTTTGATCCAACCAGTGCTTTCTTTTTACTTCATTCAGATAGTTCTAGCCTAATGCTAGTGTCTCAGCAACTCACCGGTGATAACTATGCCTTTTGGAGTAGAGTAAGGATGACCGCACTTTTGGTGAAAAATAAGTTAAGGTTCATTGATGGATATATTGCAATGTCTGATGATTATGATCAAAGTCTTCTCAATTCATGGATTCACAATATGGTAATTCTTAGATTTGAAACTCAATATCAAAAGAAATTTGGGCAGGTTTATATTTTATGAGTCTACGTCCGAAATTTAATATCTTTGTGACTGATTCCAATAAAGCAACAGCCCAAGAATTTTTCAACTCAGACAAGATCTTATCAACCACATATGTAATCAAAACTCTATAAGGGTATATTGTGGGAAATGTATGTATGGAGGTATTGGTGGACTCGATAGTTATTTTTAACGGGTGTATGCTTCATCTTTTCTCATGGGATTGAATGATAATTTCTCTAAGATAAGAGGACAAATCCTGCTTGTGGACCCTCTTCCTTTCATTAATGAAGTCTTTTCCCTAGTTTCCCGGCAGGAACGACAACGAGCTATTAACTCTAGCTCTACTTTGAAGTTAGTTGAACCATTTGCAGGAGTGACTTTCATGACTAAAAGTGAAAACTTTAAAAGGCCTGGTGGGAATAAGAATGGAATAAGAATTTGAGAAGAGACAGGTCTTTCTGCATTAATTGTAATATTCATGGCCATACAGTCGAATGCTGTTATAAAGCTCATGGTTATCCTCTGGCTATAGATAGAAATAAAAGAATTCAACTACTGTCAACCAGGTTACGACACAAGTTACAGATAAATCAAATCAAGCTGGAGCTGATAAATTTGTTCAGAACCTCAATACTTTTCAGTCTCAGCAATTGATAACGTTTCTATCCAGTCATATGATGAATTCTGTTAAAGTTTTACGAGTTTCAAGACAATCCTTCTACTTCACACCGTACAGGTATCTGTTTATCTGCTTCCTTATGTTTAGATGCTGTTTTGAGAAGAGATTGGATATTGACTTTGGAGCATCAAAACATATTTGTTTTGGTGTAACTAGATTTAGTTCTTTCAAACCTGTTCAGGATTTTATGATTATATTACCAAATAATACAATTCTTCCAGTAAATTTGTATGGAGATGTCAAAATAAATTCATATTGATCTTCAAAGAAGTACTTTATGTACCATTGTCTAAAGTCAATTTAATATTTGGTGGAGCAATTACAAGTGATTTAGATCTCACCGTTAATTTTTCTTCTGATCATTAAATGATCTAGGAGCCCTGCAACAAAAAGATGATTGGCAGGGCTAATAAGTGGAATAACCTCCATGTTTCACAATATGAAAGGCACTCACCAGATGCACTGGATCCTATCTTTGGTAATAAAGTCACTATTCAAACATGACACAAGAGGTAAGAATATTTATCTTTTCCTATACTTGAATTGTTGGAATTCAAATTACAATTCCTCAATTCTAAGTGTATGGGTAAAGATATTTGTCATGTTTGTCCTCTAGCCAAACAAAAACATTTACCATTTGAATGCCACAAAAGTCATTTGATCTTATACACTATGACATATGGAGACCATTTTCTGTTTCATCATATAATGGATATAAGTACTTTATTATAATTGTTGATGATTGCACACGTTTTACTTTTCTCAAGAATAAGTCTGATGCTACTGCTGCAATTCCACTTTTCTTTAAAATGGTTACAAAACAACTTAATAGTCATATCAAAACTTTGAGATCGGATAATGCACGAGAATTACTCATTACTAATTTTCTTGATGAAAATGAGGTCTTGCATCAATTTTCCTGTGTGCAATCTCTATAACAGAATTCTATAATAGAGAGGAAACATCAACATTTATTGAATTTTGCTAGAGCTCTCTGCTTTTAGTCCAAAATACCTCTGCATTTTTGGAGTAAGTGTATAACTTCTAACATTTCTAATCAATAGAATATCTTCTCGCTTCACAATAAATCTCCTTATGAATTATTTTACAAGAAAAGTTTTGATTACTCGTTTTTCCAAGTATTTGGATGTCTTGCTTTTGCCTCTACATTAACTGCTATAGATGTAAATTTGATCCTCGAGCCACACTTGTTGTGTTTCTTGGTTATTTGGTAGGAGTCAAGAGATACAAGTTGTTTGATCTGCAGAATTGGTAAATATTTCTTTCTTGGAATGTTATGTTTCATGAAAGTCAATTTCTCTTTCATAATTTTAATTCAGAAGTTGAAGTTTTGGATTTATTCCTAAATATTGTTTTGTCATTATCTTTAGTTTTCCCAGAATCTAATATATCATATACTCATCAATTTTTCTCAAACAATGTTTGATCATCCTCAACAGCAACAATCTCATTCTTTACATCACAATGCTATTCCTCGGAGATCGTCAATAACAACTAAACCTCCATTATATATCAAAGACTTTTACTGCAATAATCCTTTACATATTACTTCATCCTCAATAGTTGCACATCCATGAGCCAGATCCCTGTTTGATAGAAAACTGCCTCCATCTTGTGAAACGTTTGTGATGGCTCTCTCTTCTCCTATGAAACCATTTTTTATCATGAAACTCTCAAGCATCAACATTGGAGAGAAGCTATGGTAGCTGAACTGGAGGCTATAGGATAGAATTATACTTAGTTTATTGTTCAACTAACGCTTGGAAAGCATGCCATTGGATGCAGATGGGTGTACAAGATCAAGTACAAATCTGATGGCTCTATAGAGCATTACAAAGCTTGTCTCGTTGCACAACACTACACAACAAGAGAGAGTTGATTTCAACAAGACATTTTTTCTGATTGCTGAGTTAGTAATTGTCAAATTAGTACTAGCATTGGCAATAACCCAACATTGGCATTTAGCCAAACTAAACATTAATAATATGCTTTTTTTGTATAGACACTTACATGAGGAGGTTAACATGAAACTTCCCCTCGGCTATCATAGCAAGAGGGACTATTTAGTTTCTAGTTCACATGTTTGCAAGTTTCATTAGTTGATTTATGGGCTTAAACATGCATCAAGGTAATGATATTCAAAATTTACTGATGTATTGCTTCAATTTGGATTTGATCAATCTAATCTCGGTTGCTCCTTGTTCACCAAAGGTACCGGCTCCTTATTCATTGCTTTACTGGTTTATATTGATGACAAAAAATAATTGTTGGTCCCTCTATTGATGTCATTAATTCCATCAAACAATTTGCGCATGCATAGTTCAAGTTAAAAGATTTAAGGGTTTTGAAATATTTTTTAGGTTTAGAGATTACCAGATCTTCCATCAGTGCACTTTTATCTCAAAGACTCTATTCTTTACAATTATTGGAAGATATTGGATTTTTTTCCTCTAAACCACCATTTAGTCTTATGGATCCTAAATCTCAATTGAATCTTCGTGAGGGTGAAGTATTATCTGATGTTCCTTCTTATTGTAAACTTATTGGCATACTTCTATATCTAGTAGTCTCCAGGCCTGGCATTTCTTTTGCAATACAAAAACTTAAACAATTTGTGTCCCACCATTTCCTCCTCTGCAAGTAGCATACAGATTGCTTCAAGCCAATTTGTCTCCAGCCACACCTTCCTCATCTGCAAGCAGCACACAAATTGCTTCGCTACCTAAAAGCAACACTTGGACAAGGCATTTTCTTTTCTTCATCAAGTTCATTGCAATTAAATGCATTTTGTGATGCTGATTAGGGGTCTTGTGCCTGCTCCAGAAAGTATATCTCTGGGTATTGTATATTTCTTGGAGATTTTATGATCTCCTAGAGAGCCAAAATGCAGGCTACAGTTTGTAGATCTTCTTCAGAAGTTGAGTATTGTGCCTTAGCTTTGACAGTTCTCAAGATTAAATAATTGCTTCACGATTTTCTTGTTGATGTTTCACATCCTGCATTATTTTTTTTTGATAGTCAAGCAACCATATATATAGCTTCTAATCCAGCATCTCACGAACGCACTAAACACATCGAAATTGTTTTTTACCTTGTTCGAAATCAGATTCCCACAATGCACATCAAACTTCTTTCTATCTGGTCTCACCACCAACTTACAGATATCTTCACTTAAGCCTTATCTTCTCATGATAGACTTCCTCTGCTATCCAAAACGACGGTAAAAAATATATTTGCTCCATCTTGAGGGAGAGTATTAAAGGTGTAAATTAATTGGTTGTTATCTTTTCTTCTTTTGTCAATTAGTTAATTAAAATTAGTTGTTAATTAGTGCACCCTTATCATTAGCCTTGGTGATATATCTGATTACTGAGATAATAATGAAGATAAACATTTTCTTAACTCAGTGATACTGATTGAAATAGGACAAGAGCACTGACCTGTCCATAAAGATTGAAGATGGCTTCGGACCCAATGGTCTGGGAATTCTATCAATTACAGGTGTAAGTAACATTTTTTTGTCAGGAGTAACAATTTTTTTTCAGGCAATAGTTTCCTATTCATGCTCTATTTTTCCTTTATATCCATTTCTTGACCTTCTTATGATTATTTTCTAATGTGGGCTATGGTGCTCACAGGTCTGGTTTTTCTCCCCTGTTAAATAATATTTATTTCTATATCAGGATTTTGTACTTAGCATTTTCTTGCTATTCTGTGTTATATATAGTGGTAGTACGTCAAATATGTTCAAGACAGCCTCTGAACCTTCCAATTATGATGTACTGGTTTATATTAGTTGACCTGCTATTCTTGAATCTGATGATGAGAGATTTTCCATTTAATGTGAAATATGTTGATTGGCCCCTTTTTAACAAGTCGGTATCTGTGATCTTGAAAGTAGAAGATAAAAATGTAGAAGACTTGAAACCCCAAGATGTTCATGTTTTTTTGAACACTTTACCCATGCTGTCTACCACATATACTGGAAAGAGGGACCTGGTTGCATAGGCTTCACTTTTGGAGAATCATAAAATCTGATGGTTACAAATTGTCATGAAGAAGCACATTTGGCAGCATGTTGAATTTCATCAAGCCTGTTGGAGACACTTATATAATGCGTGATTGGTTACCTCTTTTTATAGTCAATACAATTGGTTGTGCGTTTAACACTTGTTAATTGCAAGCATCTTATGTTTTTAATGGAAAATTATTCAGATAATTGTATAGCTAGTTACGAAGAGGAAAATAATGAAAATCACTTTTGTTTCTGTAATCCACAAATTTGAGCAGGATTAATGGTATTTACTGAAGTTTATGTTTCTTTTATGCAGTCATTATTGTTCTTTATCCACAAACCAGTGTTCTCTGTATCTTATTTTTCCCTATCAAATATTTCTCTTAAATTTAGAATTTTTTACTTCCTAGTTTATGATAAGTTCAGAGCTGCTTGTTTAAGTTTAACTTCTTATCAATACAGGTTCCAGGATTTTCTTTGTTGCGTCAAAATCTTCTGCAACTTGCACCTAGGTATAAGTTTTAGCATCTGTTCATTCTTTCTGCTTTTGATATAAAGAAACAAAAACAGAGCAAAAGGTTACTGTAAATTCTAATGTTCACAATATAATTGCTTGTTGCAGGCTAGCCAGCTTGCCAGAAGAGGTGAAGAGACAACTGGAAGATCCTCATAGCAGGTAACTACCACATCGTCTTTCTTGCCCAACCTATTTATTACGAGTATATTTTTTTTTATCCCTTCACTCTCAGTTTTACTTGTGAAATGATGACTTAGAAGATGAATCAACAAATTGCCGCCTGTTTCATGTAAGATAGTTTCAGATAAGCCATTTCTTTTCCAGGCACTTACGAGTTTCATCTCTCTCAAGGCATTTTTTAGGCACCTCTAGATTTGTAGTTAACAGGGTCATCATTAATGTAGGCTGCTGGTTCCTCTCTCAGAAGGGAAAAAGGACATGCTATCTGGCGTAAATACCTTGGTCTAAACAAAGTGATTTCTAAGTTGTTCATTCTCATTTATATCAACCTTAACTTATATGTTCCATTAACTATTATTATTTCTGAATATTTTTTTGCATGATAAGTACAGTATTTGGTCTTCATAGTGTGCTGAGTTCAAATGCAAGGGTGTGTTATATTTTTGTGCTTTTTAATCATTGTCCAATAATAGGTACAACTTTGGATGGAGCCATGGGAAAGAGAACCTCGAATCTGGGAAGCCTGGTAAACTATAACTTTCTTGTCATCTTTTTCATTGTTAACATAGTTTAATCCTTTGAGGTGTTTGCTTGAGAGTGTTTAACATGTGTGCAATACAAAACATGATATATATAATTGCCATTGGTCATATATTTTAAGTGCACAAGCTTGGAATGTGTTCATCATTTCTTCAAGTGGAGCATTTATACTTTTATTCTGTTTTTTCTGTGCAGACATGTTGAAAGGCTCTTTTTATGCTAATCCATTATTAGATGTGCCTACAACGGAAGCTTATGAAATCGAAAGGTAAGTTACCAAGAAGGGAGTATCTAAATGCTGGTGGGTATTGCTCATTGTCGAAGCCAATATATGTATTATCCAGTTCATTTGGTTGACAGTTTGGTTTGATTTGATCTCTGTATGTAGAATGATATCTATTTGTTATCTAACCTTTTCTTTTTATTGTTCCTAATTGGCATATTTTCTTTTTCGACCTTTTTTACAGGTATCCATCATATTGTGGATCAAATATATGGCCAGGAGGTGCACTGCCAGAATTTGAAGAAGGTAGATTCACTGATAAAGAAAGATTGTTTTTGGTTGCAAGTTTCTCTTAAGCATATTAACCCTTTCCTGGGAGATTCTTCTTGCATTCACTTTCAAGGAAAATCTGTTGTGTCAAAGTTACATTTTACTGCCTGTATACGTGTATCAAGGGAAAGGTATAGTATACCCTTATTGTGTAGTGTTGATGTGTGTTGAATTTTAGTAATATTTATCTATATTCTGAGGGATAATTTATATGAGTTTTCTTTGTATATATCATGGAGAATATTTGATGTATATTTTAGAGAGTTTTAATTTGTGAAAAACTCTGCTAATCTCTCTAAAAATAGGTTTGGTAATTTATTGGTGATGTACTCTCATATTACATAATGAAATTCTTTCTTACTAGTTTTGTCCGTGGATATAGGTACACTGCCGAACCACGTAAAATTCTTGTTTTCTTTTTTTCTACTTTTACTTTAATGTGATTGTGCATATTTTAGGGATTAAGTTTCCTCAACATATAGGAATCCAACTCCTTGTAAAAGTCTGATTTCTATACAGATTGATATTTTTAGGGAAATCTCATTATAAAGTAGAATCATAATTGGCTTCCATAACTAGAAGATTTTTGCCTTTTATGGAACCGATTTGTATTTAGTTTTTTACTAAAACTCTCTCTAATTTATATATATATATATATCCATATATTATAAATTAAGTATTATGAATAAAAATTTAATAAACAGAAAATTTAATTACAAGTTTTCATATTGGTATTTAGAAACTCAATTATGGGCTTCTGTTGAAATAAAATTATCATTAGTCTGAAGAATATTTATTGTTCTTCTGGTTTTTTTGCAGTATCCTTGTTTTAATGCTTTATGGACCTTTAAACGATCTATGAATGACTTACCAATGTGTTTGTTTCAAATTGACTTGATTTTAGCTGTTAGTATTTTTTATCCATATATTATTTTCATGAGAAATCTGAAAATATTACTTTAATGTTACAGCTTTCAAAACCCTGGGGAAGCTTATTTTTGATGTTGGATTATTGGTGGCATATCACTGTGATCAATATGGTTGGTACTTTGTTTATGACATCATGGCTCTTGCATAATATCTTGATGAATGAATATTTGTTTTTTATTTATCTAAAAAATATTGTTTTTTATGTAATTTTTGTTGTGAAAAATAGTGTTGGATTAATTTAAGACCACCAAAAAAAAAATCAAGTCAATCTCTTTGGTGGTACCCCCTTGGTACCTTTTAATGCTAATCTTCTTTTATTTCAAAAAAAAGATTACCAAAGAGATGCCACTCACATACGAAAAAGTAAGAATCTTTACAAGCTAAGCAAAGTAGCAAATCATGTTCCCTAGATCCTTAGTAGAACAAAGGTGTGACCTTTGAACATAACATAGAGGGTCTACAACCAAAGATATCAAAGTTTAGCAAAAGAAGAGCAATAAGCCTCTAATGCTTTTATGTTCTTTTCTTTCCTTGTGGAGATTTTATTAAGGATTTGGAAAAGAAATTGTGTTTGTAATCTTTCTAGCTGTGGGAGTTTATCTTAATCTTGCTGAATCTTAGTTGGGTGGTCGGGGGATCCATAGTAGCTAAGTTGTGGGCTTGGAATGTAGTTGGTCTGACCAGAGCCACAAGAAGGTTGTAGGAGGGGTACACCAAAATGTTGTTAAGACCACACGAAAAGGGATGTGGAACAAAATTTGTATAAGTAGGGACAGATTCCAGGCCTGTGTTAAATGAAGCACTGTCAAGGGTGACTGAATCAATTTTTGGCCAGACCCATGGCTGGATGGTGGAGTTCTTATAGATCAGTACCCTCAGATTTTCGCCAATTTAGCACAACAGAAAGATACTTTTGGTCAGTGACTCATTCAAACAAATAAAAAGGGGGAAAAAGAGTGTTAGGTAAATTTGCTGAGAGACCTTAATGATTCAGAGATCAATGAATTTGAGAATCTCTTGAGTATTCTGTCTCTCGCTTCTTTGGATGACCGCAACAATCAATTTTTGCGGAGTCTTACTAATACAGGACCCTTTTCAGTCAGTTCCTTATACAAGCATCTGGCTAAGCAGGAAAAGTCTGGTACCAAGTTTTCTTTAAGACAAATATGGAAGGTGCCTCTCATGGTTGCTTTCGTTGTATTCTTTTATGGGAGGCAGGAAGGGGTTGCATCCTGACCATTGATGAACTGATGAGAAGGGGAATGGCTATGATGAACGGTTGTTACTTGTGTAAAAGTGTTGCGGAGATCTATAATCATGTTCTTCTATGGTGTCTTGTAGTGCACAAGCTATGGTCAATAGTTTATGCCTTATTGGGTGTCAATTGGGTGATGGCGGGTTCGGCCAAAAATGAAATCTGGGCGGCATGCAACAGTATCAGTCAGCGGAGGAAATTTGTGGACCTCATACCACTCAGCATTTTCTGGGTGATATACAAGGAGAAGAATGAAGAGTTTTTGAGGGGGTCGATAATATGGGAGATTTTGATAGAATTAAGAACAGATGGTTTTAAACCCTTAAATTTTTTATTTTGGGTTACTGTCTATATTTTATGGAAGAATTGGGGGACTTTGTTGACATCTTAGTAAATATGTATATAATCTGTAGACACGTTGACATTCCTTTAATGCCTCTTAATATAATTTACATTTTTTATTTTTTTATTTTTAAAAAAGAGCCATAAGAAGGTTGTTACTGCTCTTTCTTTTTGTTGATCCTTTTTCTTGGAAAGAAGGAAACATGGGAACTTTAGAAGGCGTGAAATCCATTTTGCATAGGACTAGGGATTTTTGGCTTCATAATCTCTATCTATTTCTGATTTTTATTACTTGGGGGATCTTATAGATCTTCTAACTGCTAATATATTCCTTCCTAGTAACCCTGTGCAGCTGTGCCTTGTGAATAACATGTTTTCGTTCTTCCAAAAGAAACACCAAAGAAGTTAAGTGAAAGTTGGAGCAGTTTTCCCAATTGGTTTGATGCAAGTTTAATGGGAGTTCTCAGTGACTATTGTGTCATGCACTATGCCCAACCTTACAACTGAAAAGTGGATTTTTTTTTTCCTTCACTCTTCAACTGAAAAGTGATTTTTTTTTTCTTCACTCTCAACTGAAAAGTGATTTTTTATGTTGATATGACTGATAGTCATGCAAT